CGGTTTTAATTTTACACACCAATATAAAATTTTGATTCTCCTTGTTTATTGAAATGAAATCTTTTTTGATGATTGAAAATAATGTAGCAAGTATATATTTGTTTATTAAAGTTTCATTGTGCACACAAAGCATTTAATGTACATTATTTATAGGTATAACCACTTTGCACTCTGTCCATAGGATCTATATGTAATTTAGTACATACACAGACAGAGAATTCTTAATTGCTTTTATTGACCTAAAGCTTTTTTTTTTTTTAACAAACTAACTTGAGATCTATTTATCTTTAATTTTTAGCCTATATCATCTTTTTAAATTTACTTTTTTAAAATAAGTTTTGCAAAGAACGATTGAAAAAATAGATATTCCAAAAATGGGGGTATAGGTGTTCTAAAGACTGTTTTGTAAAATTTTTCTGGTTAACCATAGTAAAGTATGTTTTTTTGCTAACCTTAGATATAATTCTAAATAATTGTAAAGAAAAAATAGCATATAAACATATAACATTTTAAGGAATATTTAAAATAAGATATTTTGAGCTTTTTCTATGAAAGATTTTGACAGAATCAACATATATTTTTTTAGTGTTTTCAAATAGAAATTTCAAATATTTTCTTGAGAAATGAATATTTATGATTTTCCTAAGTTTTAACAATAATTGGATGTGATTTGGTACATAGCTAAATAAAATATGATGTTACACTTCTATATGTTGAATTTTGGGTGTTTAATTTTTAGAGGTATATACTCCGAGACATGTTGCATGAAAATTAACCTGCAAAGATATGTTTTTTATGGGTGTTTTAGTTACATTATAACTTATTTAAGATTTTCATATAAGAAAATAAACAGTTTGACAGAAAATTCTGAAAGTACGAACCTACCTTAATTAAAAAATTTACATTGTTGAATTTAAATATGTTATAAAAATTGAATTTAAATAAGTAGTTTTGAAGTAAAAGCTTCTGTGTGAACTTTTCTAAAAAGCTGAGGAGTGACTTACCTTAAGACCTTTCTTAATAAATCATGACTTGGTGACCTTGACTGAAGCTTAACCTACTTTTCAAAAATGTTGCATTTGCTTATAACTTTTGATTGAGAAGAGATATGACTTTTACATTTGATATGTATATTACTTGTAAGAATTGAAGATGTTTCCTAAGATGCTATGATTTTTAACCCTATGATGTTGATGTTTACCTAATTTTCAAAATATTTAACTCTCCTAAAAGATGATTAGGCTACTTATTTGACCCCCGGGGCAAAATCAAAATTCCGAAACCTTACTGCACATCTACATGACACCACCAACCATCTTCCAAAAGATGATTAGACTGCTGAGTAAAATGTAGAAGGAGTTCAGGGAAGACGGGGCTTTTAGCATAAAAAACGTCATTTTTCAACCCCCATTTGACCCCCGGAGCAAAATGAAAATACCAAAATCTTACTGCACATCTACATGACACCACCAACCATCTCCAAAAAGATGATTAGGCTGCTGAGTAAAATGTAGAAGGAGTTCAGGGAAGATGGGGCTTTTTGCATAAAAAATGTCATTTTTCGACCCCAATTTGACCCCCCTGGGCAAAATGAAAATCTATAACCTTACTGCACATCCACATGACACCACCAACCATCTCCCAAAAGATGATTAGGCTGCTGAGTAAAATGTAGAAGGAGTTCAGGGAAGATGGGGCTTTTAGCATAAAAAAAACATCATTTTTCGACCCCCATTTGACCCCGGGGGCAAAATCAAAATTCCGAAACCTTACTGCACATCTTCATGACACCACCAACCATCTCCCAAAAGATGATTAGGCTGCTGAGTAAAATGTAGAAGGAGTTCAGGGAAGATGGGGCTTTTAGCATAAAAAACATCATTTTTCGACCCCAATTTGATCCCCACTAAAAAATCAAAATTCCGAAACTTTACTGCACATCTACATGACACCACCAACCATCTCCCAAAAGATGATTAGGTTGCTTAATAAAATGCAGAAGGAGTTCGGGGAAGAAAAAAGTGACAGACGGACGGACGGACGGACATGAGTAACAACAATATACCCGAACTTTCTTTAGAAAGTGCGGGTATAATAAAAGGAAAACTTTCAGCAACATGAGCTTTAGTATGATCGGTCCAAAACTGCGGAATGAACTGCCTTTGTGTATAAAAAATTCAAAATCTATTCATGAATTGAAAAAAACTTTTATGCCTTATTTCAATTACATTACTTTTGAGGTATTCATGTACACTTGTATATATCATATGTTGATATTTATTATTTAGACTCTGTACAAGCCATTGTATATGTTGATGTAAAAATAGGTATTTAATTTAATAAACCAGTTTCAGTTTCAATACATATAACAAAGTATATGTAATTTACATAAAGAAAGCATGTAAATAATACACACAAAGTTTTAATCATTGTATGCCCAATTTCATTATGATAAATTAGTTCTATAAAATGTCTACATTAATGAGATAATATAGCAGTGTGTGTACAGTATTATGCATTCAATGATATCACAGGTAGTAGTACATTTTGTGAAGTTTTTTTCCTTAAATTCTTTCTTTGTGTATAAATGGTCATTATTGATTATAAAATGAATGAAAGTTTTGGTATACCTTCAAGCCTTACCGTTCTTTGATTTTTTAAACTGCAGCAGAGGCTGGATGTTTTTGTCTGTCGGTAAAATCCACATACATATTCCAGAGTTTGAAGCGCATGTTTTTTCTAGTTTGTTTGTAAAATTCAACATGAAAAGGCAAACCTGCTGCAAGATTGCAAGATTGTCCAAGACTGTAATATACGTACAATACATATCACATAAACCATTTGTAAACAAAGTGTAAAATAGATTGCGTATGATTACCTATTTAAAAAAATATGGATCTATAGATCTATAAATCTACAGTGTAATATGCTTTGTAGAATTTTATGTTTAATAATAGTCTTTTATAAATTTGGGGATTATTAAGTCATGTCATAGTAAAAATATGATTTTTTAAAAATAATTTCTTGGACTAGTAGAAATAATATTTTGATTATGTTTGTATAACATTTAATTTGTCGCTTAACTTAAAGTGATTACATCCTTTAAAATAATCCATAAATGTTGAATTTGTTCTTTTGGTACTTTCCCTAGGCCTGAGTAACAGGAACATTTAGCACTTATAAAAGTTCCACTTGTTTTCTCAAAATAATTACATCAGCAACTCTATGCAACTCTAGACAAACTATTGTTACGCCCTAATTTTCAAGAGAAACGAAAATGTACAACTTTGATCGCCGGGATACATTATGTTTATGTCAAAGTTATGAAATTTGAATAAAAATAAACTGCTGTTTAAAACTTCTTGACTTACGCAGGCATCCACTACTCCTTACAATTCCCCGATGAACCTTTTGGCATGCATATTTAATATGCAGTATCAGTATGGCGACCCCGAACGTGAGATAGGACTATGGAACTATTTATTTATTTACCTGCTCAATGGTCATTCACAAAATTATTTTTTAATAAACATTTTGATTGTAAACACAAGTACTCTGAAGTTGACATTAAAAGATGTTTGAATTTCTGATTGAAAATGCTGTGTCTTTTTTTGAAAACAATGTGTTCCAAAAATATATTGGAATTCCCATTGGTACTAATTGCGCCTTGTTATAAGCAGACCTATTTTGTAATCATATGAAGCAGAATTTGTGCAAAATCTGAGACGAGAAAAGAAGAAAACACTTGGTGTGACCTTCAGCTCGACATTTAGATCCATTGTCAATTAACGATGGCAATCTTCATTCTTATGTCGATACGATATATCATAGTGAGCTTGAGATAAAAGATACCACAGATTCTGACACATCTGTTCATATTTAAATATTTTACTTGAATAAGTTAAGGTCAAAGGGTCAATGTTGTTGATATGCAAGGTTTTGTCACAAGGATTACATTTTTGAAGTATGAAAACTAGCCTTTACTTTTCAAAAGTAGTGGCCAAGGTTAAAGTTTGTTAAAAGTAGGTCAAAATCCAAAGTCAAGGTCAAAAGTCAAAGTTGTTGATATCCAATAAAAGGTCTCCTCAAAAGGATTACATATGTAAAGTATGAAAGCTCTAGTCCTTACCGTTCAAAAGTAATGGCCAATGTTAAAGTATTTTCGTAAGTGCGGAAATTTCCATAAAATTTTGGTTTCAAATGAAAAGTCTAGCCACAAAAAATTAATATTTGAAATTCCTAGTATCTACCGTTTTAAAATTAAGGTCAAAGTAAAAAATTGGATTTTTTTGTGTAAAAATGGGTCAACATCCCAGGTCGAAGTCAAAGGGTTAAATTTCTTGATATCAAATGAAAGGTTTTGTCACAAGGCTTGAATATGTGAAGTTTGACAGCCCTAGTCGTAGCCCTTTGAAAATTATGGTCAACGTTCTTGGTATCCAATAAAGCGACTTCTCACAAGAATTACATACCCCGGTATGTGAAGTTTGAAAGCATTTAAGCCCTTACCATTAAAAAGTTATGGTCAAGGTTAAAGTTTTTTTCATAAGTACGGAAATCTCCAAGGTCAAGGTCGAAAGGTCAAAGTTGTTGGTACTCAATGAAAGGTCTTGCCTATGAAGTATAAAGTATATGAAGTATAAAAGTCCTTGTATATACTGTTCAAAAGATATGGCCAAAGTAAAAGTTTTTGTGTAAAAGTGGGTCGACTCCAGGGTAAACGTCAAAAGGTCAAAATTGTTGGTAGCCAAAGAAAGGTCTTGTCACAAGGAATATACATGTGAAATTTGAAAGTCATAGCTCTTCTAAATCAAATATGATCAAGATTAAAGTTTTTACGAACAAACAAAAAAAAAGAGAGAGAGAAAGACATAGAGACAGCTAGCTAGACAGAGAGACAGATGGACAGACACGACAAAAACTATATACCCCGAAACTTTCTTTAAGGGGGCATAAAAAATAAAGCAATAATTGAATGGCATATTTCTCATCTCTTTTAGATACTCGTTATAATAACACATTTGTCAGACTGGTAAATGGAACCTTACCGTCAAATGGACGAGTTGAGGTGTACTATCATGGTGTGTGGGGTACGATATGTGATGATCACTGGGATGATAGTGACGCTGGTGTTATCTGTGTTATGCTGGGATATACAAGGTATAAAATCCTCTCAACATTTAAGACTTAATACATGTACTAAGAAGATGTAAATATGTGTGTCATGAGTTACGTATTTTAATATTTTTGCAGATTCAAAACAAGACCGGTATATATTTAACGAAAGCCGCTTTTTCATCTAAGTTGACAAATTTCAAGTTTTCAAAGGAGAAAGACAGGAAATCCTTTTTTATGCCCCCTTAAATTAAGTTTCGTCCGTCCGTCCGTCTGTCTATCTGTCTGTCTAACTGTCTGTCTATCTGTCTGCCTGTTTGTCTGTATGTCCGCAAAAACTTTAACCTTGCCCATTACTTTTGATTTAGTGGAGCTACGATTTTCATATTCCACATGCGTATTTCTTGTGACAAGACCTTTCTTTGGGTGCCACAAAATTTTACCTTTTGACCTTGACTCTGCAGTTTGACTCACTTTTACACAAAAATTCCATACTTTTACCGTGACTATATCTTTTGAACAGTAATAACCAGGACATTCATACTTCATATATGTATTTGGTGTGGCAAGACCTTTCAATTTATACCTCCAACCTTAACCTTTTGACCTTGACCTTGCATTAGAGATATCTGTACTTATGAAAAAACTTTAACCTTTGTAATAACTTTTGAACAGTAGAGATAGGGCTTTCATACTTCATATGTATTATTTTTGTAAGAAAGCCCTTCAATGGATACAAAGAACATTGCCTCTTTGACCTTGACCTTTGAGTTTGACCTACTTTTAAAAAAACCTTGACCATATATTTTAAAGGGTTGAGCTAGTGCTTTCATACTTTATTGTTTAAAGGTTGTGACAAAACCTTTCATTTGATACGAAGACCTTTGACCCTTTGATATTGACCTTGGACTTTGACTTTCTTTTTAAAAAATTTAACCTTGATCATAACTTTTGAACGTTTAGTTCTAGGGCTTCCATAATTCATATATTTTTTTGTGCCAAGACCGTTTTATTGATACTAATAGCATTGACCTTTTGACCTTGACCTTAGAGATTTCCGGGCTTTTGAAAAAACATCAACCTAGGCAATAACTTTTCAACGGTTAGGGCTACGGCTTTAATAATTCACCTATGTATTCTTTGTGGCCATACCTTTTATTGGATATCAATAACCTTGACCTTTTGACATTGACCTTAGAGATTTCATGACTTATGAAAAAAAACATTTACCTTGGAAATAACTTTGAACGTTGAGGTCTAGGGCTTTCATACTTCACATATGCAATCCTTTTGACAAGACTTTTATTCAATACCAATAACCGTGACCCTCTGACCCTGATCTTGAGTTGGACGTTTTCTTAATTTTTTTTTAACCTTAGCCATACTTTTCAACGGTAAGCGCTAAGCGCTAGGGCTTTCATACTTTACATAGGCAAGGCAAGGCCTTTCGTTGGATACAAATGATATTGACATTGGGGATTTCTGTACTTATGAAAAAAAAATTTAACTTGGCCATAACTTGGGAACAGATGATAATAAGGCTTTCATATTTCACTATCGTATTTCCTGTTAGGAGACCCTAATTGGGTACCAAATAAGAAAAGTATAATCTTCAGTATGTTGCCATATGAGGGCATCGGTGTTTCACAGAAACATCTTGTTTTACTTGTACCTTCTATAATAATATGTTTCTTCTCCCTTCGAGCAATATAAAGTCTGTTGAAATCAATATCAGGTTTATTAGGGTTAGTTTACGTCAATGTTAAGGAAACTATAAAGATAAGCCTACAGTGCATCGAGGTTCTCTGGTTTTTCTAAGAACATCGCTCAATTTTGAGTTACAGTCAATAAACACAATAATTGTGATTAGCAGTGTAGTACGTTGTTCCTTCACTGCTAGAGGACATGTTCGCGAATTCAACATCAGATCATGGTAAAAGTGGGTAATCTATAAAGTGAATGTAAAATTTTCAAATTCTTTAGTTCTTCTAAAGTACTAGTTGGTCAATCTCAACCAAATTTGCCTCAAAGCATCCTTGAGTGAAATGGAATTTAGGGCTTTTTTGATAATTAATTAATATTAAAAAAATATGTTTACCATCCCGATATTTTAGAAGGCTATTTCCGCTATTTCAAAAGTTATCAACGTTTATTCTTTGACTCTATAAGAATTTGTTGGAAAAGCGCCAAATTATCACATTTAACCTATATTTTGTATTTCTGCCCTAGAGATTTCTTTTTCATTCAAGAAGATGAAAATTATTTTTAAAAATCTCCAAATAGTGAAATTTCAAAAAGTTGACCATCTAGGTTGATCTAAGAAAATTATGTTAATTAATTAAGTTTATTATTTTCAAGGCCCACTTCATCTGAAATTGCCACATTATGGTAAAAATATATCAATACAGATGAATTATCGGAGCATATGATCTTTTCGTTAAATAATTAGCAATGTTCTGTCATCAGTTTCTAGTATAAAATCCATGGACGTCTTGGACAAACAAGCTAGTCATGCGTCATTCTTCAGCGTCACACATTGCTTACAAAATCGGAGAATGGTAACGTCTTTAGGGCCATTTTAGCGTTTAAAAAATATTCAGACCTGCAGGTGTTTCAGACAATGTTAATTTTATATTAAAATCAAATATTTGGCAAAGGTGTACTGTTGCACAAATGACTAAAAATTAAAAAAGCTGCGCAAAGTCATGCGCTCTCGAATTAGAGCCTTCTTTAATAAGATAAGTTATAAGGACTGGAGTCATCCTTTTAAATGTAGATTATTGTGTATTCATTTGTTTGTCACAAAACAACTGATAGTACTCTGATTTAAATGGTCGCCATCGTGTCACAGTGATTGGAGCATATGCTCTAGAGTCGCAGAGTAAAAATGGTATCCTTTCATCTCGGGTTCGAATCCAACTGTGGGACATGGAGACCGGCATTTCGGATGAGACCCTATAAACTGAGGTCACATGTCGCAGATGCAAGCATGAAAGATCTCTCATTGCTCAATAGCTCTGAGTGCTGATCATAGGACAAAATTTGTAGCACCCCATCGGCAACGGGAGGTGTCTCCATATGAAATAAACATTTTCAAATGGGGTGTCAAGTAGCATACAATCTAATTTAAATGCAGGCACTTGAACAAAACTGACCAAAAACTGATGTGTTTGTACATGAAAATAAATATTCTGATTAGAAAAAATTGTCAGTCTCCCTGCCTTCTTTGAGAACAACATGTAAATAGAGGAGCCCTTTTCACATTGTAAATAGGAAAAATCGAGTATTGCAACGTTAAATCTGCCATAAAAAAAATAGTTTCTGCAGGTGTTAAAAATGAAAACAATATTTTTTGTTTTTTATTGTTTAATGTCCCTTTGGAAAATATGGGAATGTCACCATTTGCTGATGATGAGCTGTTCATTTTAACCTATTCTCGGCACTCACGTCCATTGTGCAAAGAGGGATATTTTTGTGCCAACATCTACTGCGACAAGGGCCTTCGGTTTATACAGTTTCATCCAAAGGATCGGTCTCCAAGTCCAACAGTTGAATTCGAAACATTGACGTAAAGATCTATTCCTTACTCAGCGACTTTAGAACAGATGCTCTACCACTGCGCCGAGCGGACGACATTTAAACAATGCAACAAAGAAAGATAAGAATTGAAAATAAAACATTTTATTCCATCTTGCGTCAACGCCTCGTCCAATCTGATAAAAATGATTATATAATAAGGACCTTTTAAAACAGTATAAACACAAAACTAGATTTTCCCGCCACCAACTGTAAGTTGTATAATGATTAGTGTGAAACATAGGCGCACCCTATGTAATTTTGTAGATAACGAAATCATAGTCCACATAGGTCTTCCCAAAAGCCTATGCTTTAGAATACTAGTATTAAAAAGAAATATGCACGCTAACTCTCGATTCTCGCCTATATTTTAACACTCATTTAATAAATATTGATGGCAATTTGGCCATAAAATCTTTGTTTAATACGAAGAACAGTTCAGTGGTAATTGATGAATTGTCTTAATACCAGCGCTAAACAGTAATTTATCCATAACTCCTGCTCTTGAAAAAAGAGGGGTAGACGATATTTTCCATTAAAATCGGAGTTTTAAGCATCACCATATTTGGAAGTAGTCTTGGATATGATTTAATGTTCCTTATATCTTTTCTTCTGTTTTAGGCAAATAAATAAAACATAAATATATCAATCAAATCAATCAAATCTAATGTTTCAGTTGTAACTCTTTTTGAAATTGGTGGAAAATGAGCATTTTTATCGCTTTTTGTGAATAAACATATGCCCCCCGCCCCGTGTCACACAAAAAGCTTTGGTATGAATTTGTGAAATAACATTCCATATTACTGTAAAAACTAACTGTATAACTGTAAAAAAGGACTTTGTGTGACACGGGGGAGGGGGGGGGGAGGAGATGTTTTAAAAATATTTTCTGTTTTCCGTTGATTTCTTAAGTTAAAAGTTTTTCCAAAATTTTAGTCTCTCTTTCTATTGTTTTATGAAAATCCATATAGTTATCGATATAAAATATTAAAAATTCATCGAATTTGTTAACTTCTGAAAGTTGACTTGGAGGTAAGAGGCAGAACAATACTATCGTTCGCAGTTCTTCAGACCATTAGTTTTTTTATGCGATTAGCGTATTACGTCATGTAACCAATGATATGACGAAATATTTATCGAGACCGGAAACTTCCATAAGGCGCTATATATCGACAATGGAAACGTCTTGTAATCTGTAATTCGGTGTAATACGCCCTCTGTTGAGACAATATGTCTGATGACACTGGACAAAGATATGCATACTTTTACTATCATCATCTCATTTACATTACTTTTTGAATATCTTAGATGGAAACATGTAAACAACTTTTAAGTTCTTACACTACAAAATGTACTTTGATTTACTTTTGCCAGGATGAATTTCTAAAAATAACTTTCAAGATCATCCTAAAAGATGAAGGATTATTATACTTCATTTATGTTTCATGCCGCAGAGAAGTATGTGTCAA